TCTAGGTCAACTGTTACATGGCCGCGGCAATTTAGAACGCCGCCCAACGGTTGCTAGACGAGCCCTCAACGCGATGATTGAGGCGTATTATGCGTATTCCCAGACAGAACTGGCCCGAGCAAAACCTGATAGTGATGCAATCCTAAATTGACAACTCGTCAGTCATTCAAAGAAAAACACCTAATGGCGACCTCGAAAACCAGAGTGGAACAGACACGAGCAAGGGCGCATAAGTCTCATCATAGCTGCAATTCGTGTTGCCCTACCCAAACAAAGAGCCGAATGAGCGAATGTGGTAGTGAAGCTGAGAAGGAGCACCTAAGATGTTGAAAACTGGTTCGTGTATGCCTCACGCATCAATTTGTACTTGGGGGAACGTAATGTTGTCTAACCTTCAGAAATTCACGGTATGTAACTTCATGCAGTGGCATGTGGAACTATGAGCTGTATATGTGATGTCACATTAATGCTAGTTGATGTTTTGCAGTGCTGTGCAACATTCTGAAATTCTGAAATGTTGACAATTCCCCGTTTTTGTTTGTTGAATAAGAACCAGAACGAGAACGGAAGGTTGCCACGCTATCTTTGCCGGACAAACAAATGAGCTTCTTTTAATCACTCCGGGGAAGGCTGACTCTACCAATCCAGCTACGGTTCTCTCGATCGGTGAGAAAACCAAGTGCCGTAGTTTGAAACATGCTTCCCAGCAGCAAGGCAAGCAATTCATGCATAGCCAAACACAAAACACGGACGAGTGAACGAACTGAAGAAAACTTGCTGGTGCTCAGTAGGGAATGTGGGAATGAACCCAGCGGTCCTTAAAGGAAACCACAAGCGATGGTTTATAAGTTATAAGGGTCATTCCACTTCTCATTCCCTGCCTACCACCAGTAAGAAAAGGAGCTGACACGCAGGAGTTATTTGTCGAAGTCGAAGCAAGAAACGCGGCCTGGCACTCGTCTCCCAAAAGATGGGCAGCTGCCATGAGGACAATCTGCTGAAAGCCTCGGGACATAGAAAGCAAAACTGCCAATCCACACGTGGAAGGGTCCTCCCCCAGTGGGCTTCTGGAAACACTGCGGATCGTCGTTCTTGATGTAAGAAGGTAGGTAGGCAACGAATCTGCAGCATGTGCAGGCTGAAAGTAAGGCGCTTGACAGCCTAACAGCAAGGTGGTTGCTCTCTGGCGAAGCATTTGCCGAAGCGCAAGCTCTCTGCCGCAAGCTGTAAGTCCCTGACGGCAGGCGTCAGCAAGGCGGCCAAGGCGACAGTAGACATCCTGCACCATGAGGGTCCGAAGCAAGCGCAGTGTCCCAGCTGAGTTTCCTTGTGATTGTCAGACATGCGCCTGGCACCTCCAAACCATGAACCCCTGTTTTCTCACATGGGTATGAAATGGTATGAATTTTAATCAATTTTAATTGGGGACCCGAACTGGTGGACATCATAAATCGGTGGGGATTTATGTCCACCAATCGCTTTTCAGGAGGTTCCCCATTAGAATTCATCGCCTTGGGCTGAGACCCGCCATTGTCTACCAGCGGTCGATTTAGCTGCCTCTGCCGGCAGCAGCGGACTTGCCCGATGCAGATCTGCCAGGAAGGGATGCTCCAATGAAGCCTGCAATGGCGCCGTGTTCCGCTCAAGCAGTGCTTGCATCATGGTTGATCGCCTTATGACGCCACCTGCTTAACAGAAATCGGTCATGCTTTGGACAGGAATGTTCACTAGTTTCTGAACACGTGGGGCATTCATTCCAGTCAAGGTCCGTCAAAGTATGACAATTGTTCGTCTTTGCAAAACATAGGACTCAACACAAAATACTAAACCTAGCGCTTTTCCCCTCCGACCCCAACTCGAGTAGTATTAGCGGACCCTTAGCAACAATACTAAACCAAATTCAAACCAATACTCAAACAACAGAAGATCCAGCTGCGCTGTGTGTCTTCGAGCGCGAAGAGTGAGGGCAACCCTACCCGTATACCGCTGTGTGTTGTTGCACCCCAAAGCTCCTCCTCCCTTCATTCACCCACCCACCCACACACCCCACCCGCCCACCCACCCACCCACCCACCCCACCCACCCACCCACCCACCCCACCCCACCCACCCAACCCCACCCACCCCACCCCACCCCACCCCACCCCACCCCACCCCACCCCACCCCACCCCACCCCACCCCACCCCACCCCACCCCACCCCACCCCACCCCACCCCACCCCACCCCACCCCACCCCACCCACCCACCCACCCACCCACCCACCCACCCACCCACCCACCCATCACCCACGTGGCGCACACCCAGAGCCAATCAGACTAAGACACCGCCAAAACCTACTCTCAGGGGGCCACTTTTTGAGGGTTTGAGCGATGTGGGTCGGTGTGGATGGGTGTGGTGGGTGTGGGTGGGGGGTGTTTGTGGGTGTGGGTTGGTGTGGGTGGGTGTGGATGGGTGTGGGTGTCGGTGATGGGCGGGTGGGTGGGAAGGGGTGGGAGGGAGCGCAGCTGGTGATGGCGAAGCCCTGGGATACGACACTGTCTTTTCCTGCTGTTCACACCGCAGGGACCTTGCTTGGACGAATGCCCACACCGCACATTCAGGGTGCCGAAACCAAACTTGGTCCATCTGTTTTTCCAAAACTGGGGACACGAGTACTCAGCATTGCAAGCACCACCAACACCACCAGCGCAGCACCACTAGCACACCAACAGCACCACCAGCGCCATCAGTCCGGGAATGCTTGCAAACAAATGCAATCTATACTCGCATCCTTAAACTAACTTGCAACAAAGCTGCCGTCAAACCATGAAGAAGGGTCACGTGATGCAGGGTTGAAAGGCCCTTCCATCTTGGGTGTGGAAGGCTTTCAACTTCAGCAAGAAAGAAGACGCCTGCGCGGGTTTGCCAGCAAAAGGCCTTTCCTGGCATTCTGCGCAGGCCTTTCGAAGTTACGATTTGCAGCATAAGGAACAACCAGGATCAGCAGAAATGATTGCTATTCAGCGCACAGGGACTTGCAGTTGCACATGCAAAATCAAAAGGGCCCGCTGGCAACCGAAAGAAGTGCGTTCCATGTGGTTGCTAAGCTTGATCACTAGTCGTCCGGCTGTGATACTGATTTTGTGGGCCGGGTGCGAAAAGTGTTCCAGTCTTGCTCCGCCCAATAATTAGGGGCTATCATATGTACCACCGACCTGTGGGTGCGAGGGCGAGGGTAGCAAACCAGGAGTCGATGATGATGATGATGATGATGATGATGATGATGTTGATGATGATGATGATGATGATGATGATGATGTTGATGATGATCATGATGATCATGATGATGATTGTGATGATGTAAACAGCCTAGTGCAGCAAAGGTTAATACAAATGACTGCTATGGTCTTCACTCTACCACCCTTCTGACAAGGTCTCTAACATGCTCTAAGAAGGCGGTCAACGCTGCTGCTACCACATTCTTTACTGTTCTCCCCGTCCAACCAAAATGAGACAGCGTGCACTCTACCAAAGGAGCGAACAAGATCCGTGCAGGCAGCAGGACGCACGTCTTGCAACGCCGCCTCCAGGCTGATCCGCTCCGACACATCCTGGGCGGAAGCAGGCCTTTGGATGAGCTTGCCCAATACAAGAGACACTGGTTTCAAGGGCTGATCCGCCCGAAGCGTTGCAAAATACACGACCAAACTGAAATACCCCCACATTAAACCTCTGTTTCCACGCGCATTGTAGGATCTTGTAGTGGGCATGTGTGACGGAATGTGCTTCTGCAAGTGCTTGCAAAAGCAGCTGCGTCATCAATGCCGAGCAGTGACCCGGGCGCTTCAACTGGAGCCTTTTCAACTCTGGGCAAACCGCACAGTTGGGACACCAGCGCATATTGTCACAGAGGCCGTGCAAGGTAGCACGGACGTCTGCAAATACCAGTGTATTCCGCAATCGTTGGGGGTCATAACTGTCGGACATGACTCAAGAGTATATTAGCACCAGTAGTTGATATCACATGTCATGTGTGGCAACTCGAGTAAACAACTTCAACACTGCAAAAGTAACTTCACACATGCGCAAACGCATGTGTATGGCAGGCTGGGCACCCAGGTATCTGAAACATCCGAAAACGAGCCCTGATAGCTGACCATTCCCATTGGGAGGAGCATTTCCGCAGCAGTCACATGGATCCCTTTCCCAATCTCAGCGGGCCCTTGCAGGTCAAACGGGTCGTCAACAAAAAACAATCTTGTCCCGGGCAGCGGGCGGGTTTTTTGCCGGGTGTCCCTGTAATCTCCCCCGCCTTGGGTGGTTTTTGGGTTGGTTTCCCTTAAACTCACCCGCCTTGGGCGGGGTTTTTGGGTTCGTCCACCCCACCCCGCGCGTGTCTGGGTCGGTCCAAGCCTCACGTGCGCGTGGGCTGAGCTCTCGGCCCAGGCGAGCAGCCGCTGGGCGAGGTCCGCGGCTTCCGGCGAGCAGCGGAGGTTGGCCAAATGGCCCTCGCCGCGCGCCGCGCGGCGCGCGGCGCGCGGGCGGGGGAAGCTGGAGGGACAAGGAAGCGGAAGGCTTTTGGGACTCAAGGAGCGGCATAGGAAAAGTGGCCAACGGCCTGGTTCGGCTGGTGTGGACCCCAAATGAAAGTCCAACTCAGGAAGTGGGAAGGAGAGAAGGGGAAGGGGCGGTGGGGGTGCTGGAAAGGGAGGGAAAGGAAAGGGAGGGTATGGTGTGCAAACATTAGCAGTGAACTGTTGAACCTCAAGCTGACACCTCCCTCGCGGCGCGCATGGCTACGCTGATCTGCTTTCTTTGGGGCAATCATTGCCACATACACAAAATCGGCAGTCTCTGGAAGCGGTTCAAGCTGTGCCTCTGCACATCGCTTTGAACACTCTCAAACAAAGCTGTAAATATTTGAGGGATCCTTACATTCTACACCTGAACATTGCCTTGTCTATTTGGTGGTTTCCCTTTATTTTGGTGTTGAAAAAGCCATGTTTCAAATGGTTGTAAAGTGTATCTTTTAAGGAGCCCTGCAAAGGCTTACAGGATCTCAAGAAAGTGAGCCAGCGCATCCACAGGCGGTTGCCGGCCTTGAGACGTTTTTTTGAGGTATGTAGGGCTTCTCTCCGTCGGGGCTTGAACAATGGACCCAGCTTTTCAGGAGCGCTGTTAAAAAACGGGCATTGGAGCAAGCTGCCTGCATGTCCTTCTGCAGGACACCCCGCTGGTACATCTCCTCAAGAACATCCCAGCAAATGGTTGGACTGTAAGACATGTATATATATATACATATAATCTATATATGATATCTATATATATATATATATATATGACATATACATATATGATACATATATATATATATAATGATATACATGATGTGTATATATATAGAGTGCCAGTTGAACCTGACATTTGTTTTGTGTAACCTGTCTGCTGGTCCTAATTTGGTGAGCTATGCTGTTACAGCCTTGCTCCAACGTAGTGGCAGCTTGACCGCTCGGGTCACCGAAAGCATCCTCTCCTTGAAGATCGAGTCTTCGCTGGTGGAGAAGGGAAATTGGCCAGTCAGCATGATGAAGAAGATCACCCCCAAGGACCTGGCGAGCCCAGAAAGCGGGTCCCACTCGAGCCAGGTCTCCACAAATGGACATTTGCTTCTTGCGTCGTTTGGAAGTTGCTTGGCCGGGTCAGCCAATCCAATGATTGCTTCATGGCACTGTGCTCTGACTTGCACGCCCAAAAAGGCAGTATCCGTGCAATCGTGGGTGTGTCTACACTTACAACTTGATGTTCTAAACCTATGTGATAAATCATAAACTGTAAAAGAGTCTCCGCACGCTTGTCTTCCTCCAGAATTGTTTGTCTGAGCTTCTACACATAGCTCTTTGACGCTCCTGCACCTTCTGACGGTTGCACGAATGGCTCACAACACATGGTCATCTAATCAACCATTGTGAGAGGCTGCTTTCACATGTTCATGCCTGAAAGGCAATCTGTTCTGGATTGTACTACTCAACAACTTCGCAGCTTTGATTTGGCACCATCCACCCCACGGTTCTCCTTTTGCCATGTTTGGCATACCTCCAGAAGACTTTTTCAGGGGCTGCGGTGTTGCCGGCTGGGTCACTTGTGTAGCTTACTGAGATGCTTTGCAACTCTGGCGTGGGGCGGGGTGGGGTAGGGGCGTCACCGTTCACATTAACTGCTTGTGCTCACTGCTAGACGTCCATTGCAGTTCCGGAACATGACTTTGGTGGAGCTACTTGAGGCTTTGACAAGTGCGACTCTTGTACGGCTAGCGGGATGGGGGCTTCTGCCTGTGCAAGCTGGGTTTTATTCAAAGCGAGGGTTTTGCCTGCACAGAGCATCGATTTGTAGCCGCACCCTGCAAGCAAGAAATGTGGGGGCTTTCATGCGCAGAGCTTGCCCTTTCAGCAACAGCCCGCCGGCAGTTGCGCCAGACGTGCGCGCGCAAGCAATTACTTCCAACATGTGATTTCAAACATCCTCGCCGGCAGGAGCTGGGAAAGCTTTGCACGCGTTGCAATCGAAACGCTCGTTCCCCAAGACTGAGTGAACCTCCCAGGCAAAATGAGCCTTTCTCCAGTTGCGGTCGCACTGCCATGATGCCGAAACCCGGGCTTTTGCACATGTCCGCTCGAGCCATTCGCTGTCAAGCGCACATAATTTTAGGGGAGTTGCCGCCTGGGGCCATGCACGTTTGCCACATAGTCTCTTTTACACCACCTACTCGAGCAACTATTGGGATATGCACTCGTGAGCATCGGTGTCCTTTTGGAAAAATAGACGGGTTTCCCTGAGTATTTCGGCAGAGACCCATCTAAAAACCCGAGGAACCCATCATGTTTTCCCGAAACGAACCAATCCAAAGGGACTCCTGGCAAATGGAATCAGATCCATCTAAGCAGGGACACCCCCTCGATTTTTAACCAAACCCAAAAGGGACACCTACCCCCTACACCCAATACCCACTTTTTTCAGGGTATGATGTCGACCCTCCACACAAAAAGGAGGTATTTACTTTGGATAGCCAGGTTTTCCTAAAAATACCCTGAGAAAAGCGGGTATTTGGAGTAGGGGGTATGGCCGCGTGCGTAAATCGCTGAATTCGCCGCCAGGATGGCCATGCATCGTCGCTGGCTGTGGCCGTCCGGCCCTGCAGCAGCTGGGGCGAGGCATACCTTGGGCGAATGGATTGGGTGGGACTCGGGACTGGGTTTGTCTCCAAATAGGATTCGGAACCTACCAAACCGTTTAGTCAGCTTCCATCCAATTTGTTTGGTTTGGATTGGTGGTTTGCTGGTTAGGAGGTGGCTTCCCATTTACCCTCTACACGAACCAGGGGTTCAAATCCCAAAAGGACCCTTGGGGATTCAGAACCCCCAAACCTTTTAAAGTTTTCCTGTGGCTTCCTTCTAAAACCACAACAAAAAGGGTGCCATGAATAAACAAATCAAAAACAATCGGCAACTCTAAATGGTACTGGGGAAGAATACCACAGGCCTGCCCATTCATTGGTTCCTCTGATGCGGGTTGACAGCATCGAAGGCAGGGATCCGACACTGGGCCAGAAATCATCGCCAAAACCGCATTGGACCTTTGGGTTGAAGCGAGTGTTGGGTTCAACGCTTTTTCTGGCCCCATTATCTTACCACTATCAAAGTCACCCCCAGTGGTGGGTGAAAAGGGAAACCAACCCCAGTTTGTGAGTCTAAAAACCCCTTGCAACACTTACAATCATACCCCCAGTTTTTGGGGGTAAAGAAACCAAAAAGACTCTAAAAACCCTTGCAACACGTACAATCATGCCCCCAGTTTTTTGGGGAAAGAAACCAAAAAGACTCTAAAAACCCTAGAAACACGTACAATCATGCCCCCAGTTTTTTGGGGAAAGAAACCAAAAAAGACTCTAAAAACCCTAGAAACACGTACAATCATGCCCCCAGTTTTTTGGGTAAAGAAACCAAAAAAGACTCTAAAAACCCTAGAAACACGTACAATCATGCCCCCAGTTTTTTGGGGAAGAAACCAAAAAAGACTCTAAAAACCATAGAAACACGTACAATCATCATGCCCCCAGTTTTTTGGGTAAAGAAACCAAAAAGACTCTAAAAACCCTAGAAACACGTACAATCATGCCCCCAGTTTTTGGGGTAAAGAAACCAAAAAGACTCTAAAAACCCTAGAAACACGTACAATCATGCCCCCAGTTTTTGGGGAAAGAAACCAAAAAGACTCTAAAAACCCTAGAAACACGTACAATCATGCCCCCAGTTTTTTGGGTAAAGAAACCAAAAGAGACTCTAAAAACCCTAGAAACACGTACAATCATGCCCCCAGTTTTTTGGGTAAAGAAACCAAAAAAGACTCTAAAAACCCTAGAAACACGTACAATCATGCCCCCAGTTTTTTGGGGAAGAAACCAAAAAAGACTCTAAAAACCATAGAAACACGTACAATCATCATGCCCCCAGTTTTTTGGGTAAAGAAACCAAAAAGACTCTAAAAACCCTAGAAACACGTACAATCATGCCCCCAGTTTTTGGGGTAAAGAAACCAAAAAGACTCTAAAAACCCTAGAAACACGTACAATCATGCCCCCAGTTTTTGGGTAAAGAAAGACTCTAAAAACCCTAGAACTTAGTTTTTTGGGGAAAGAAACCAAAAAGACTCTAAAAACCCTAGAAACACGTACAATCATGCCCCCAGTTTTTGGGTACAGAAACCAAAAAGACTCTAAAAACCCTAGAAACACGTACAATCATGCCCCCAGTTTTTTGGGGAAGAAACCAAAAAGACTCTAAAAACCCTAGAAACACGTACAATCATGCCCCCAGTTTTTTGGGTAAAGAAACCAAAAAGACTCTAAAAACCCTAGAAACACGTACAATCATGCCCCCAGTTTTTTTGGGAAGAAACCAAAAAGACTCTAAAAACCCTAGAAACACGTACAATCATGCCCCCCAGTTTTTGGGGAAAGAAACCAAAAAGACTCTAAAAACCCTTGCAACACGTACAATCATGCCCCCAGTTTTTGGGGAAAGAAACCAAAAAGACTCTAAAAACCCTAGAAACACGTACAATCATGCCCCCAGTTTTTGGGGAAAGAAACCAAAAAGACTCTAAAAACCCTAGAAACACGTACAATCATGCCCCCAGTTTTTGGGGAAAGAAACCAAAAAGACTCTAAAAACCCTAGAAACACGTACAATCATGCCCCCAGTTTTTGGGGAAAGAAACCAAAAAGACTCTAAAAACCCTAGAAACACGTACAATCATGCCCCCAGTTTTTGGGGAAAGAAACCAAAAAGACTCTAAAAACCATAGAAACACGTACAATCATGCCCCCAGTTTTTGGGTAAAGAAACCAAAAAGACTCTAAAAACCCTAGAAACACGTACAATCATGCCCCCAGTTTTTGGGGAAAGAAACCAAAAAAGACTCTAAAAACCATAGAAACACGTACAATCATGCCCCCAGTTTTTTGGGTAAAGAAACCAAAAAGACTCTAAAAACCCTAGAAACACGTACAATCATGCCCCCAGTTTTTGGGGAAAGAAACCAAAAAGACTCTAAAAACCCTAGAAACACGTACAATCATGCCCCCAGTTTTTGGGGAAAAGAAACCAAAAAGACTCTAAAAACCCTAGAAACACGTACAATCATGCCCCAGTTTTTGGGGAAAGAAATCAAAAAGACTCTAAAAACCCTAGAAACACGTACAATCATGCCCCCAGTTTTTGGGGAAAGAAACCAAAAATACTCTAAAAACCCTAGAAACACGTACAATCATGCCCCCAGTTTTTGGGGAAAGAAACCAAAAAGACTCTAAAAACCCTAGAAACACGTACAATCATGCCCCCAGTTTTTGGGGAAAGAAACAAAAAGACTCTAAAAACCCTAGAAACACGTACAATCATGCCCCCAGTTTTTGGGGAAAGAAACCAAAAAGACTCTAAAAACCCTAGAAACACGTACAATCATGCCCCCAGTTTTTGGGGAAAGAAACCAAAAAGACTCTAAAAACCCTAGAAACACGTACAATCATGCCCCCAGTTTTTGGGGAAAGAAACCAAAAAGACTCTAAAAACCCTAGAAACACGTACAATCATGCCCCCAGTTTTTGGGGAAAGCAACCAAAAAGTGATCACCTTGCATCCACTGAGCCCCTTCTTTCTCTACCCACCTCCGATTCCCCAGGTCCCGTCGAGGGGTTCCTCTTGTTGCTTGGCCCGTCCAGCCTGGTCCAAGCCGGGCTCCACTTTTCGACTACCCTCAAGTAGACTGAAACCCAGGGGTGAGTCATGTACCCCAAAAAGGACACCCCTGGGTTTAAGTCTAGTTGCCGGCAGTCAAAAAGTAGAACCCTGGGTCCAAGTGCCCCGAATCGCCGAACGCGGACGCCGGTTCGTTCTTGTGGGCCCCCCGGCAGAAGCGTTCCTGCATACTTGCTGTCGGGCGAATGCGGGGCATCTTCCTGGCTGCCAGAAATGGTTGTGAGTCAAAACTAGGCTAACCCCAAAATCGCTTGCCCTGATAAATGGAAACATGGACCAAAATCTGCGGTCCCCTGGTGATTTAATATGGACCCACACCCACTTCGCAACGCTGCTCTCGTTGCTTGGCATACTATACTGACACCGGGAAGAGGCCATGACGCTCATGTTGACATATTCATGGTGACATGCTATAGCTCAAAACGAGTGATGTTCTTACCGGGCCCATCGCATGCAAATGTCTATGGAATCCATGTGCGAAGCCTGCAAACACTGCGTGCATCTCAGCTCGGTTTCAAGCCTGCCAGATTGGCACTCCCCGGTAGAGCTTCCCAAACAGCCCCAGCACGGGTGTCAACACTTCTGGTGTGTCAAACGGGATCCAGTTGCAAAGCCAACAAACGACATGAGGTTTCTGTAGCACCTTTTGACAGTCCCAGGTCGTTGGCAGATTTCCAGGTTCCCTCTTCTCGACTGGCGAACAAAAGGTCCCGCAGGGCAAAGCCGAAGTCAATGAGCTTCAGGTGAGAGCCCACACCTCCGGGATGACACCAAATGGGCTGGCATTTTGCGCGTATTTTTTTTCACGGTGTCACCCAACAATTGGAATCGGTACCTTAAAAAATGCTGTGTTCCTTGTGGTGTTCCTTGAAATACTGGTCGAAGCACCCTTGTTGGATTCAAGAGGAACTGGATAGCCTCGAAAACCACAATCACCCAACTTGAGGTGTCTCAAAAAACAACACGTGCGCGGGTGGGCGGGGCAGGGGGGGGGGGGGCTGAATGGCAAGGATCCAAAAACGGTTCCCAAAGCAAAGGCATCAAACTCCCAACTGTAGTCGTGGTAATCCTTTGGTGATGTCCCTTCAAACTAAGGGAAACAGGGTCTCAAACCACGCAAGCGCCCAAATGGATGTCTTTTTGTGGAGCCCCTGCCAGAACGGCTGCGGTTTCCGCCTGGTTTTCCTTTGAAACCATCAACAACACAATCCCTTCAAACACAATTTTAAATTTGCTCTTCGTTTCTCCTGTCGGGGGGGAGGGGCTAAAGGAAACCAAACAGAGAAGCGTTGCGCCATTTTGGCACCCCCTCCCAAACGGACCGAGACCACCATTTTGGGGAAAAGGGACACCATGTTTTCAAAACGACGCCAGTTTTCCCAATTTTGGCCAGGGGCCGAAAAGGAAAAGGCCGCCATGTTTCCCCATTTTGGCCAGGGGCCCATGTTTTCCCAACAAACATGCCATGTTTCCCCACGGCGTCCCTTCGGTAATAAAACAAACACCACTTCCCGAACAGATGTGCGAAACCACCATTTTGAAGGCCCCCCTCCCCCCAAAAAAAAACTTCTGCATGTTTTCCCATGCTGGCCAGGGGCCCCCCCCCCAAAAAAAAGGACTCCATGGTGTTTCCATTTTGGCCAGGGGGCCCAAAAAACAACACAGCACGGCCACCCCCAAATTTGGATCCTAAAACAACCAAAGCGATCGCTCCCGTGGGTTCTTCCCCCAAATCCATGGCCGGCCCCCCCCTGAAAGGGGATCCTAAACCAACCAAAAGCGACCCGCCCGTGGGCTTCTTCCCCCCAAAAAACCGGACGGCCGGCTCCGGCCCCGCGGCTCCGGCGCCTGTGAAGAGGAAGTTCTCGGGCTTCAGATCCCGGTGCAGCAGGCCCTTGCGGTGGCAGTGCAGCGTGGACCGCAGCATCTGCTCCGTCAACTGGGCCACCTGACCGGGTGCACGTTCAGCCGTGGGCTCGGGAATTTCATGCGGTGGAGTGTGTATATAGATATATATGTATATATACACATTTAATATTATATATATATATTTATGTATACATATACATATAATATGCTATATATATATACATCTAATAGTTTGACATATACATAATACTCTATATATATATAGATATATTTATGTATACATATACATATAATATGCTACATATATATATATACATATAATAGTTTGTACATATACATAATGCTATACATATATATATATATAGCATATCATATCATATCATATCATGTGTACAGATTATGTCTGTGTATGTATAAATGTCACTTACATACCACTTGTATAGGGGTATGTGTATAGATAGATAATGCAGCCGTACAATGTATATTTGTGGTGTACAAGTCTCCATAGCTTCAATGGAACTGCAAAGGCTAGGGCGGGGCAGCTATGGTCTGCGTTCTGTAGGGGTATCCTTATGGGCAAGGTGGTTTTCAACAAACCCAACCCATCCCCACATCCAACTCATCCCGACATCCAACCCATCCCCACATCGTGGTCAAACTCTGCGCTAGGTTTGCTATTCATCATTCGGCTTTCTGCCGCTCATCAGTCTGGCACCAACATCAAACGCTTGGCGAGGTTGTCAAATGCAGATCTGAGGTTGCCGCTGTGAAATTGAACCCCAAGTGGAAAGCATGCAACAGGACGTCGCAAGGAAGGGAGAGCAGATCACGGTGCCTCTGCACCGACAACCCGATGCTTTCTTGTAATAATGAGCAAGTTGGTGTTCGATGAGCAAGTAGCCTGCCCAAGTTGCTCCTCAACCTTGAGGTACCCAGGTCTCACAGCAGGGATCCATTTCAGAGGACTGCCAACTGTCGAGCCTCGAGTTCTCGAAGACCTTGAGAGCAAAGAAGCCGACCGCACAGCTCCTTGCCAGAGCCAAGCCTCTAACAAGTTCTGGCGATTCGATGGGCGCGTGGGCTGGGAATAACAAGAGCCCTCCGCAAGTTGAACAAAACGCGTGCCCCTCGTTTTGGCATGTCTGCCTTTGGAAGAAAGACACGGCCTGTCCTCACCCCGGCATAGCTCAGTGACAAGCCACAGGTGCCTGGGAGTCTCAAAGTACCTGGGCAAGTCCCACACTGGCTTTTGGTCATAGGTCGAGTTTGGATTGTTCCGCTACGCTCCTGGTACTCTCAAAACACTTGAACATGACCAGAAATGTGCGATGGCCGGCAACGCTGGGCCGTGCTTGGGGCGGACAATCACAGTTTTCCTCCGACACAGTTTCCGCAGCATCTGATACAACCGGCATGTTGGCGCTGTCAGCTGTCCACCAGACAAAGCTGGTTGGACTAGCACTGTGCAAACAAAGAGTCTACGTTCAGCATTCGGGCCGGGTATCACTGAGGCAATCAACAAAGTGAAACAAATGAGCAATCCTGAGCTTAACCCTCCTCACCACCGCTACTGCCACCACCACCGCTACCGCTTCCATCAGCGACGGTGATAAAAAGAACAATTGCAGCTGCAGGGAAACAAGTCTTGAGCCATTGTTCAGACCTTGTACTGTGCACCCTCACGATAAGCCTTGACCATGAGAAATATGGCCCTTGAAAGTCTATTCTGTCAGGCATTCGGCGTCATGTTGGAGCTAATGAAAGAATTGGGTTTGGCTCGAACTAGAAAAACCCTCAAAAAATGTGGTTTCTGTTTGGTGTCCCCTCAAAAAAAGATGAGCCCAACGGACCGAATTCCAAGCCCAAAATTGGCTGAGCCTGTGACTCCACCAGGCGGCAAATGTGGGGATGGTCCATCTTCTTCAGGGCCTCCGGCGAGGAACTGCCGAGCCCTCGACTCGAAAACCCAACGAGAACTGCTGAGTTTGGGCATCCGACTTTCATGCAGGACTGATGCAAATCAACTCTTGGCAGCTGTGAAAGAACTGCAAGGATCAACAGTTGATGCTTTTAATATCATTTTGGCAGTTGATGCTTTTCAACATCTTCCATTTCCCAGAAGGTTAAAGGGTGTTAAAGGTTAAAGTTGACTGGGACAAAGGGGCTCCCCCAGCTGCCCTCCCCAAGAAGCCCCTGGTTGGATGTGTTTAAGTCAAAGTCAAAACCGAGTTCTACCCCGTATGTACACAGCACACACGCAACACAAGCACAAAGACAAAACCACGCGCACACACACACACACACGCACGCACCCACACACACACACACACACACACACACCCTGGTCCTTTGGTGGGCCAAAGGATGTCATCCATGACCAGGACGGCCCTGGCTCGCCTCCACCTCACCGGGCTGCAGCATCTGCTTGTCAATGCGCTTCACAGCGCGCTCAATGCCCGTCCTGGGCGAAAGTTAGGCCCATCAGTTTTAATGGTAGTTTGAACCCCAGGGTGTAGACACATATCTGTATATTGTGTATGTATGTACATATGTATATATTTATATATATATATATATATGGTACCCACCCACGGACCCTAGTCTCACGGCTAGCTAGTTGGCCGACAGCTTTGGTTGGGGGCAACTTCAAAAGTCGAATCGGCCACGGTGCGGGATCACAATGCTCGAATGATTTCGTGTAGGTGGATCTGCATTGAAGCCAGAAAAGGTGGGAAAGAGCTAGGCACTGATACGAGCACCGAACATGTACATCAACTCAGCGACTCGATGCTTTGGCAATGACAGCCAACAGGCTGTGCTCCTGCAGAGCTGCAAAACGACTTGCCCGAATCGTCCCATGTGATGCCAAATCGCTTTACATGACCTCTCTGGCAGACCTCCGCTCCCAACCGCGGGGAAAACCAAAACAACTCGGCGTGTGCGCCCAAGGTTGGGGCCCAAAGAAACGCAGCCGTGCCCAGCTGCAGCTCTGAGCCGAGATGCTTCCGATGCTTCGCCAGCAAGACGACCCCGTAGGCTCCGGCACCCAAGGGCTCAACCCTTGGGAAGTGGTATGCCTGCGAGGTTCTCGAGTATGTCCTCTTGGGAGTTGCTCCCCCCGAATGGCCGGGTTTCTTCGTGGTTTCCCTTAAAAGCCGCAAAAAAATGGGGTAGCCCCGAAAAAAAGAGAGGCCCAAGTTGGTCCCTTGAAAGAAAAGCGAAGTGGTCGGACTCAGAGTGTTGAATCAAAACACTGCTGGCACTGGCCTCGTGGATACCCTTCTGGTCCCTCCAGAACAGCCTGGTGACAATGCTTGCGCTTTGACCGCCCCCTAACGCAACCCTTTTTGGTGAATCCGCAAACCTGCTTATTTATGTCTGCTCTGCCTTCCCAAACCTGAATCCGGGCAAAGGCATCGAAACAAAAGCAAGCACCAAGTCCGAAAAGAAAGGAAACCAGGAATTGCTCGTTCCCTATTCTCGGAGTACGCCCAAGTGTTCCACTTGAAACCAGCTGTCCTTCGCTGGTGGCGAATCAAGTGCATGGGCCTGTGAATCAGCTTCTCTGTCTCAGCCAGGTCGGGCGACGGCAGGCTGCAAGTCCTGATCTCGGAAGCTTGCTCAAACCCCCGTGATACCTGGCTCAGCGACACACAAACAAACAAACAAACAAACAAATAAATAAATAAATAAATGAACGAACAAACAAACAAACAAACAAACAAACAAACAAGCAAGCAAGCAAGCAAGCAAGCAAACAGACACACAGACAGACAGACAGACAGACAGACAGACAGACAGACAGGCAGACAGGCAGACAGACAGACAGACAGACAGACAGACAAGCAAGCAAGCAAGCAAGCAAGCAAGCAAGCAAGCAAGCAACCAAGCAACCCACCAGCCACCAACCCACCAACCGACCAACTGACCAACCGACCAACCCATCAACCAACCAACCAACCAACCGACCAACCGACCAACCGACCAACCGACCAACCGACCAACCGACCAACCCACCAACCAACCAACCAACCAGGCAAGCAAGCAAGCAAGCAAGCACGCAAGCACGCACGCAAGCAAGCACGCAAGCGAGCAAGCAAAGAAAACACACACACACACACACACACACCCACACACACACACACTGGACACACACACACACGCACGCGCGTGAATCAGCATGCCTCCTGGTGCTGTTGCTCCTCTCACGTGATATGCGCAAGGGCCCCGGCCAAAGCTGATGCAGCTGGCGGTGATACTGCGTCGCTTGCTTCTCATAGAGACGCTGTAAGCGCTGCAGCCTCAGCGCAAAGTCTGCTGTGGAGTTCAGGAGCCAGGTAAGTCACAATCAATACCTGGTATTTAAATGGTCTACTCAGAATCATGTAAAGAGTTGAAAAGGTGGCCGCACCCATTTGTGGCTGGGATTGGCCCTTACTACCCTCCAATTACCCGGGGTTTGATTGGGGCTCAGATGTGAATCTTAAAAACAAATCCAGCCAAACACACATTGCTCACCTGAAGCTAGGGGAAAGTACATCAGACCCACCCACACAACTAGGCGACTTCCAACGGGGAAGTGGCCAAGGACTGTGGCTGTGGACCCAAACATGTGGCTTTGGACCCAAACATGTGGCTGAAATCTTCGGTGATGAAACCATAGACGCCCACCGCGCCTTTGAACGCTTGGCTTCCCGCCTCTCACCAGCGGAGGAGCTCAGTGATGCTAGGCCCACGCCCACTGCCAGTCCGGCAATGGTACACCTAGGTGCCGGGCGGGCCCCGAGGCGGACTCGCCGAAAACGTGTACAAAGCAGGCGGTTGTTTGTTTTTTGTCTTTGTTCTTCTCTTGTTGCTTTCCGGAGCAGGGTGGTTGCGTGTAAACACAGTGCATGTGTGTGTGTGTGTGTGATGTAATGTGAATGCAATACACTGTAACGTGATGCAATGCACAGCAATGACACGCAAGGCATGCAATGCAAGGTTATGGCAGGAAGGTAAGTGAGATACGGAATGGTGTGGTGTGCTGTCCGCACCACCCGCACCACCCGCACCACCCGCACCACCCGCACCACCCGCACCCCCCGCACCCCCCGCACCCCCCGCACCCCCCGCACCCCCCGCACCCCCCGTATGGTGTGGTGTGGTATGGTGTGATGTGGTATGACATGTGACATGGTGAGGTCATGCGTGCAAATGCATTACTCTGTGTGTGTGTGTTTATCCCCAAATTGGAAGACCCTTTGTCCATGATTTGATTCCTTGAGGTGTCCTTCTCAAAAGATCCAAACGAGGGGACTCCGATTTTGAGACTCGCTGCCTAGCAACTCGTGAGCCTTTGGGGCACCGAGTGAATTCGAGTGCAAAACCCAAGGGCACATGCGAGTGAATCGTCAGACATTCCCCATGCACTGCCCAGAGGGACAAAGCTCCTTCTATGCACTCAGCTACCTTCTCGCCGAATTCCTTGTTGCGGCAGGTATTCAGCCATTGTCCGAAAAAAGATGTCCTGAGGCTTGTTTCTGGCCTAGATTTTCGAGAGCGTTGATGCATATTCCTTCCCATCTCTGGGCCAAAGGGGTGGGGCCTTTGGGCCCCGGGCACAGCGCGATCAGCCAGGCTGTTGGCCTGCCGAAAACGCCATGGGCCGCGATCAAGATAACCTTTGGGCCACTTCGAGCACCTATGGAGTGCTGGCTTCACAAAGGAAACCAATGCCATGTGTTTGAGTCAGCGCACTGACATTCTTTTGGGGCTAAGTGAACAAAAGTAAGATAGGTAAAGTCAACGACCTCAGTCTCTCGGTGCTTTTCCATTTGCTATGATGGCTCTCAAGAGTTGCGTGTGTCCACAGCGGCAAATGACCAGAAGTGTAGACCTCTAGCATCAGGCGCTGTGAGCAAGGAAGCAACTACTGACCATTGACCATTTGACCATTGCAGCATTTCTGGTCACTGAGAATTGGCATCTGTCCTGGATCCAGACGTGCTGGCTCTGCAGCATCTGTGCACCTCAAACGTGTCCAAGCTTGGATCGACAGCGCAACCTACCCAGGCCCTGAGGCCCGAACTGTTGGCCGTCCCCGCATACCCGCGCGGTCCACGGCATGCCTCATGCAATCAGCCCAAAACCTTCCAAGTGACCAAAGGGGGGATGTCTGACCTTCACGCCTCACTTGGGTCAGAATCAACACCTGGTACTAAACATGGCCTACCCAGAACCATGTAAAGAATTAACAAGGCGGCGGCACCCATTTATGGTTGAGATTTTCCCTTACGACCCTTCATCTACCTGGGTTTTGATTGTGGCTCACTTGGAGTGAACAATCCCGGCATGCATCCAGTCACGACTCAAAGATGAACCACGCGGCTTCCTTGGGCCGCCCACCGAGCCATGTGCCGATCTTCGCGAAAAAGGAAGTCGTCTCATGACTGCATTCAATCTCGAGAGCCAGCTGCAGCATAACTCTTTATGGAGGCACGTGAGAATTTTTCAAAGTTGCACGTACACAGCGCACGCACCTTGTTTTGCTGCAGACACCATGCCTCCGCATCGGTTCTGATTGAATCAAGAACCCGCAGGCCCTGCATGAATAAACATGGCCGCGCGTGCGCAAAGTGAAAAAGCAGCTCCACGGAAGTGCCTCGAACAGAGGCATCCACCTCTCGGCAGTTCTCCAGCTCATCCAGCATTTGCAGCAGGGTCTGCCACTGCGATCTGGCATCCGCTTTGGCCAAAGCCGAGAGAACAAGGCCGATGACTAGGGGATCCGGCGAGGCATCCCCAAAAATGGAAATGGCATTCTGCCATTTCGCCGCCTTCTGACATGCCGAGAGAAGGGCGTCCCAGGTGAAGCAGTCCGGCTGCAATCCCTGCTGCAGCTGCGCCAGCAGGGCGGTGCATCTCAGCCAGCGCTGGCTCTTTTCCAGGACCGTGGCTAAGGAGTTGAAGCTCACCCGGTCCCTTGCCTCGGCAGATGCGAGGAGCCGAGTGCCCAGGGGCCACTTTTTGGGCTCCGAGCACGAGGAGATCAGCGCATTCAGCGCGCTGAGGCCGGAGAGGCTGGCATCGCTCGCGGCAAACGTCACCACCGCAGGCTCCAAGGAGCAAAGGCTTCCCCAGACGGCAAGTGCGGCGGACCACATTTGCGCCACACGCAGGACACCCATGCAGGAGTTCAAGGTTTCCAGGCTGGGTTCAAGCGCTAAAGTTCTCAGACACCTCAAGTCAGTTGCAAGCTCCCATCGGGCCACTCGGCTCAGGGCAGTTAATGCGCCGTGAAAAGGAATAAGGCTTGCTTGGCCGTTGCTCCACAACTGGGCGACCAAGCGAATGGCGTTGTGCCATTGACTGCCCTTCTCACATGCGCTTGTGGCTGCAGAGTAGGCAACGGGCAGGGACGCTCCGCTCTCGCCGCGAAAATGTTGCAGCGCCTTAGGGCTCTAAGATCGAGAAAAATAACACACCAGCAAGGCCAGAACCACTCCGAAACTCAACATACCACTCACAAAACCTGCCTGCAGAAGTTGGATAGACCTCCTCCACCTTTGGCTCTTCTCGCATGCAGAGATGCATGCGCTCAGTGTGATGCCGTCGGCATACGCCGCTGTCAAGGCCAAGGCCCGAGTCCACTGAAAAGATCGCTCGCAGGTGCCTCAGTGAAGCGGTGCATCGCTTCCCCCGGGATGTCACATGGACAGTCACTAAACATCTCATTTGCACTTGTAGTCACCATAGTCATCAACTAAACAAGGGCAATCATTGATAGTCACTGGATCCTCAACTTCTGTGTGTTTTGACAGGTGAATGAAGGAGTAAAGGAGCTTGCGACACACTGAGTGTATATTGCTCATGGTGGACGGCAACCACGAAGCTGTGACACTGTGACTTGCCAAATGCATGATAATCTGCTGACGCTTGCGGTGGACCATACACTGCCAGTCATTTGACCAAACCTCATATACAACACGCGTCAAGCTGTTACCGGATCCACTCGACCTGCGACCTTTTGTGCCCACTAATGTTGACCCCTATATTAATCACCCCTAGTTTATGAACAGGGGGGGGTGGGGGCCCCTCCAAACATGATGAGACCCCACCAAGCCCAGGAACACCCCCCTATGAATCTACCAGGGTTGACTAATCTGCGTCTCAGCCAGGGAGCTGACCATGGAGTTGCAGCAGATGCTCACCAAGGCGCCGGCTGGAGCCGCTGGAGTGGCGGCTAGGCAGAGAGCTCTGGGCCACTGGGACGGAGCGCCTCTGCATGAGGTCACCAAGGAGCCACAGGTGACCTCCGTAGCCTGGCGTCACAAGCCACCAAAACAGCCCCCAGTCGAAGAAAAAAAGGCCACGGAACGCAGGCGAAGGGATCATAAGATTTCAGCTGAACGAGTCAGAGCAGTGGCAACAGAAACGGGTCAAACAAAAAGGCAGCAGTGCCGAAGCCTCTCTCTGCGCTGTGTCGCGAAAATCGACCCCCACCATTGGGCCGGTTGTTTGGAGCCAAAGCCTGGTTACCACAAAATCAGCTATAGACTTTAGACATGTGGAATCGATCGATACTCCATGTTGACAGAAAACTGTGGCATTCCAGTTCATTGCAAAACCAAAACGCCTACACACCTTCCACGCCTCTACACACACATCCAACACCTCCCCCCAAGCCCACCAATGTCCAGCACCCCATTCAACAGATCTCAATCATAGGTGTCCCTTTAAGCGCGATAGATGGGTTTCCCTGGTAGAAAAAAAACAGCAGGGAAACCAGGAATCGCCCATCTATTTTTCGACCAAAACCCACCAAAAAGGACACCTATGGCTATGGTATGGCTGTCTAGGTCCTCCAGCAGAGCCCTCCCCAAAAAGGGGAAAAGGGCGCTAGGGGGACCTATGGCTGTTGCTGTTTTGGGGACCGACCCCACCGATCTCCCACGGCCCTGCGCCTGCAGGGCCCGGCGCAGCATCCACTGCTGCAGCCTTAAGGCCGGCTCCCAGCGGCACTGCCGCAGCGCCGCGTTGCCGCAGACAGCGTTGGCCTCGAGGCCGGAGCTCGCGGCCAGCTGCCGCAGGGCCAAGGCCCAGGGAGAGCGCAAGGCCGTGAAGGACACCTGGCTGGTGAAAACCATGGAAACCTCTGGTGATCAAAGGTGGTACATGAGTGATCCACCCCAAGCATAGGTGACCCATGGGCACCTCACGAAACTGAAGCCGAAGTGAATTCACAGTGGTCTTGAAGCCTTCAATTTGAGAGGTCAATAGTTGAGAAACCACAGAATCATGGGCCGGGAGCTGGTGCCCTTGCTGGATGGAACTACGGAGGCGTTTCGAGCTGGCACCGATGTGAGTGCGCAGAATGCTGGTCTTTTGCAAGGTGTATTCCCTTTAAATTTGAACAGTCGTATGGATTCCGCAGTGTGGAGGGTACCTTCCGCGAACATGGTGCCGTATAAGCGCTCCCGCGGCCTTCCGCGGTCAAGTTGCTTCTGAAAATTGAGGAAGGTAGCTTCTGCCCGGGAATTCTCGCGCGCGAGTTGCTAGTAATTCTGCAAAATGCAAAAGCGATGGTGGAAAGAGCAAATCGACCACGTCCTTTCTGCGAGCTTCCGCGGCTGCAGTGTGGTGCTACCTTGTTTGTTGATATGTCCACCTGTAAACATGTTTGCTTGAGCGGGAAAACAGCGCTCAACTGATCATGATTGAACAAAGGAAAGAACATGCTCGATGCTCGCTTGCAGCAAGACTTTGAGAACTAACTCTGGTGGCAAATGTCTCCGGTTAAAACACACCAGAATCAGCATCGCTGCTTAGTCCTTCATGGCCGGTAGCTGTTGCTTGTGATTCTTGTCTTTGCTCGACAGCTAGAGGAAAGGAAGTCACCCGTGTCTGTTCGAAGGCCATATTCATGAGCTAGTTGCTGAAAGTGCTTATCGCTGCTTGCGCGAATCAATGGAGACAAGTTCAATTCCTCTGCAGCCGGATGCGTTCGGCCCACCTGCGTCGGTGAAATGCTGAAGCTGCGCATGCACTGGAAGAGGGCCAAGCCTCGCTGCCAACTCAATGAGCTCAGAATGGAGTTGAAGATGATGTGGTTGGCCTGACGGTGGCTTAAACGCCTTTGCTTGGAGGGACATCAACCCAAAAAAAAGTCCGTGCCTCTGTTTCATAGACAATGCACATGTCGATTGTGATAGTTGCAAATCAATCTAGTCTCTAAGGTCCCCCCCCCCTTCGAAGCCCCATCCTGCTACCTGGGGCCCGGAACATTTGTTTGAGTCGGGAAAAGGTTTGGTGCACAACCCGAGAGACCCATAAGATGTGTTTGAGGGGAAGCATTTTTTTTGGTCAACCACCCGCAAGTTTCTTGGAGCCCTTCACATCGCCCCATCGCCCCATCGCTCCATGCTCTCGCTCCGACTTTCGCGGCCTCGCCTGGCAGCTGAGCTCCGCCATGCGCCGCAGCAGCGCCAGGGCCGTCGCCCAGGGCCCGCGCCGCAGCGCGGAGCCGAAGGAAACCGCGTCCGGCCGCGCCGCCGCGGCCAGCTGCGCCAAGAGTGCGGAGGCGATCTGCCATGCCGAGGCCTGGCAAAAGAAAAAGAAATGGGGCTTCCACCGTGCTGTTGTGCTTCTATTTGTATTTTATGTTGTTCCCCAACAGCTGAACGCTTTGGGGTCTCAGCCCAGGTAGGCTCCGGGGTGGTCCGGGGCGGCCCTGAGGTAGGGTTCCACGAGGGTTCCACCACGGTGCAAGGGATGCCGAGCACTAAAAAGAGCACCGCATGCTGTTGGGGATTTCGCCTGAGCTTATTTGATGTTATTTTATGTTATGTTACGTTATTCTATGTTATGTTATGTTATTTTATGTTTTCAATTTTGTGTTAGTTTACTTTTATCTTTTTTTTGGAGGGGGGGGGGGGGGGGGGGGGGAACTCAAGGGAAACATGGATCTGTCAGTTGTTTTTTTTTCTGAGGGGGGCCGTACCCCTTTTTGCTGGCTTTTGAAGGGCAAATTGGGGGGTTCCCCTTGAAAAAGACACACCTACGTGAGGTCAGAAATGAAAAGAATGAGAAGATATGAGAAGAGCAGGGAGAGGTGAGCTAGTAGGTCCCGTTGGATAGCGCATTTGAAAAGCAAATGCAAGGGTAGTTGGTGGTTTGGCTGGGTGGTTTGGTGGTGGGTTCCCAATTCCCCTCTACCAGAACAAGGGCGTCAAATCCCCAAACCAGCAATCCAAACCACCAACTAAGGGTAACCGGATCTTTGGTGTGGCATCTGAACGACATGTTCAAACCCATCTTGCCCGACCGCCACTCCTTGGCTCTGGCTGCGATTTCCTGATGGAACGCTCTCCGCTGTGCGGCAACGCTCAAGTCGATACCAAGCATTCGACGGACGGAGGAACTCAGTGGAGCCAAGCTGGCGCACAAGCGATGCACAAACTGTGCCGGTGGATGGAGTGGTCAGGCAAAAACATATTTTGATGAGCCTTCGTGCCTGAAAATACCATCACAATTCATCTCCCTATGTCACGCGGTGGTGCAATGCTAACCACCTCAAGCCTCAACAGAAGCTTTTGAGAGTAGCTCTCACGCATGAGAGCAGCAAGGGACACACCATTTGTCTGAAGTGGGCACAAATGCCGGGTGTGTCACTTTGAATCCAAGAGGAAAAAGAGCTTGCGCCACGCTTCCTGGAGCCTCTGCCAAGTAGGTGAATCCATCCAAACGGGGCTCTTGCAAGGGCCTCAAGAGCACCAGCAACCGGCACAAGCAACAACTATGAAGCTTATCCTCCTTGACGTGCGATCGGTTCTGCAGCATTTCTGAGCAAATGGCCATGGGTCAAAATCCAAATCGAACCCCCAGTGAACATCCCAATCCAACCACTAAAATAGACTAAATGGGTGGTGCACCTACCCCAAAATGGTACTGGTTTTGACCCACAGCCAAATGTGCTTCAACGGCGATCGATCTGTCTTTCATTTATTGCCAGTCTGTACAGTGGTCTGGCGATCCGGCAGAGCACCTTTGGCCCGTTACACAGTGAGCTTTGCCACGAGCTCTTCCCACTGCTGCGGCGTCCTGCACAAACCAAGGCCTCTCTCCAAAGACAAGACGCCCTTGGATGTGTTCACGTTGGTTTCCATTTGAAGAGCCCCAAAAAAGTACCCTCACAAAAGACACCTCCAAATGCAGAGATGATCGAATCAACGTCAGATCAGACCAGGCTCTGCAAAGAGCGTTGTAACCTGCATCAGCAACCCCGCCCAATTCAATGAAGGCCCAAATCTGCCTCTCGTCAGCAAATAAGGAGTAATTCCAAATCGAGTCATCTCATGTTGCCTGGCATCAGCAGTCTCAAATGAGTGTCCTCACACGGAAGTCCGTCCCGAGCGGCCTAGCGCGTGCGCTACCTAGGCCAAAACAAAAGCGGATCTGCACAGAAATCCTGGCGGTTGAAGGCAGCCACACGACTTGCAAGTCTCTGTGCATGTGTGTGCGTATGGCAAATTGCCGCAACGATCTATCTGAGCAGCAAACGCGCTGTGAAGACCGGCTCGCGCCTCTCCAAATGTAGCGAGTACAGGCTTCGTTGAAGAATCCCAAGCAAGAGCTCAACTTGACGTGCGGGCGACCAAACTAGCACCCCTGAAAAAATCCGTTGCCCAGCTACCACCATTGGACCTGACAAAGCCGCAAATAGTGCATTTGCGGGATCGCCTTGGCTTCAACTGTGAGGGAATCTGCCACAGCAAACACTTCTGTCTCAGGTGTTTGAGCCACAATAGGTTCGGATCCAGATTTTTTCAGTGCATCCGGCAAATGCTTGTGACTTGGGGAACCCCTAGGGTAGGTATCAACATAGGGGTACCCCCAAATGGTGGCGTTCCTTTTGGTCTCCCTTCAAAGCCAACACACACCCTGTGCGGCACCCTCTTCAAAAACGCACACCTACACAACCCCCTTGTTGGCTGTCCCGTGCAACATTGAAACCCATGGGAGGACCCTCCTTAGCGATCTTCCTGTCCGGCCTCAATTTCTGTGCCCCGAGACGGAGGCGAGCTTCAGCCAAGTTCAACCTGACTCTGACGTCTTGAGCCCAACTTTGGGTCGCTGGGTAGCCGCTTGTGGGTGGCCACTGAGTACAGTAGCCGCTAGTTACCGACTCTGCATTCCCTCACAGTAAAGGCTGCGAGTTGGACCATACAAACAAAAGACCGACCGAACGGACCAAGCAGTGCACAAGCGCACAAACGAGCAAACGTTCAATCGAACAGTCGAACAAACAAACGAAGGACGAACAAACAAACGAAGAACGAACGAACAAACGGACGAAAGAGCGGACAAACGTAAGAACAATGCGAACGAGCTAACCAAAAAAGCAAGCAAGTAAGCACGCAAGCAAGCAGGCAGGCTGGTAGGCAGGCAGGCTGGCAAGCAGGCAGGCTGGCAAGCAGGACGGCAAGCGAGGAAGCTAGGAAGTAAGGAAGCAAGCAAGCAAGCAAGCAAGCAAACAAACACGAATACAAACACACACACACACACACACACGTACACAAAACAAAACGCAAACACAAACACACGCACTCGCCGACCTGTGTAGATGATCATACTTTTGAAGTTCGTGTCTTGACTCTTCTGCAATCTGTCGGGGGAGTCTCATCAGGGCATTTCTCAAGCACATTCAGGCAACACAAAAAACTGCCGAACGCCAGCTTTGCAAACAGCAATAAGAAGCTTTGAGGATTGATAGGCGGCTGAAACAGCAAAATCCTGTCTGATACCAATAGAAAATGAATGGCATCGATTCTGGTTGGACAGAAGACCTGGGTGGATCCTTCACCTTGGACATTAGGAAAAATGCAATGTTGCCTGCATCCACCGTCAAATTGCATGATTCGCGCCTGGAAGCATCTGGCGTGCAGGCTGCCTGCAACATCCAGCCAAAGCGCAAACATGCCACGCATCTGCATGACCACACAACTTGCCCGGTTGCCGAATGTTCTGACAGCACGCTTTTAGAACAAAACTATCCCTCCTGGATGTCCTGATCAATTGTTGGCACTCGTGGTAGCGCATATTCAGGGCGGGCAAAGTCCCGAAGTCTCACAAACTCAAGTCCTCCACAAACAAAACCAGCTATGTGTCCACATTCGTTATTGACCAACCAATCCGGGTTGGCCAATCCGCAAGAAGCAAATCCAAGCCACCAACATCATCACATATGCGCATCTCCAAATGGCTATGGCTCAAAACAACGGTACCAAAATGGAACGCTGGGAAGTGCAAACATGGACTTGAAAACCTGTGTAACCCCTCCTGTTTGATTCTGAGCCACACCCAAATAAGAATGGATACCAGGACACCTCATGATTAGAGTTAGGCCCAGTTATAGACTGTATATTGCATTGTTTGCTTGACATGGAGTCCCTGGTAAAATGTAGAACGTATCCTAAGTCTACAGACCTCTTGGAGGGCATGGCATCGCCCGACGGTCCATCCATGATGCCAAGGCGCCAGTCGCCCCGGCAGCAGGCGCCCAAAGAGCAGCAAGGCAGAGTAGCCGCCCCAGGCGGCGAGGTCGCCCTGGCGAGTGTCGGGACATGTTAGGAAATATAGCCGTGGGTCGACACCAATTGGGAAGGGGATTCAGCAGCTTGGGGAAGGCGGCACATGTCGCCATGGAGAATGAGTGGCCAGAAGCATTTGGGATTTGGGTGTCAACACCGTTTTGGGATCCCATTTTGGGGTAGGTGAATTCACCACCCCTTTTAGAACCTGTCTTAGTGGGGATTGGGATGTTCACTGGGGGTACGGGGTTTTGACCCATGGCCATATGGGTGTGTTTCCATTTACCAAGGTACCTTTTTGGGGTACCTTCTCTTTGAGCCACCTCCATATGTCCACAACCTGAAATAAGAATTGGATCCCCCAGGGGTTGTCCCATTTCACGGGGGATGCTGAACACTTTTTGGGGTCTTCATTCCGGTTGTCTGCATGCATGTGTTTTTTCTCCTCGAATTCCAACACCTCTTTTCCCTCCTTTCCCAATGTGCGGGTCCTCAGACAATTCCAAAACCTGAAGCAAGAATTGGATCCCGTAAAGGATCTTTGGCTTTCGCTCGTTTTACCCCTGAATCGGTGAGCTCGAAATAAATTATGCAGAAGTCTCAATGGAAGATGCAGCCTGGTCACAGGCTTCGAAAGAGAACCTTCATGGTTAAGCTCATTGCACCCCCAGTCGGAATACATTCGGATGGAACTGGTCGCAAGTGCTCCATGTGAATGTGCTCCATTCCACAATTCGCAACAGGGTCGCGTTGCTTCTCTGCTCGTCTCCTT